TTCCTGTAGAGTATCACCTGAGGAGATCAGAATATGCAGAAAACAAAACCAAGAAACTTCAGTCTGTCTCCAACCTATCTCACTTTATATCAAAATACCTTCCGGAAGGATTTTATACAGCAGTATTGCATATATTGCAGATAAAAATGTAGTCTCATTGTAGAATGTAAGTAATAGTTTTCATTTAATTCTACAATGTAACTTACTAAAAAACCATAAAAGTATTCAATTTAGAATACTGTTCAGAAACCACTGACTTTCTATCCTTGTTTCCTTTAAATAAGTAAACATATTTTTACGTGCAAAATAAAAAGTTGTCTACTTATGAGGTAATTTGCTCCTCTTGCTACTGTGTTTCTCCTGAAACCCCGATGCATCACCACGTTATTTTTTTTCCAAAAGAGTTTCAATTTAGTATTTCTACCTAATTGCAATTTTTGCATTTTTCTTCATAGCATGAATAAAGGGAAAACCATCTTCCATATTTACCTTTTCTCCTCAAACTACCTTCTCCAGAAGCTCATTCAGTAGAAACACAACATTTCTTAAAGTACAAAAGGGAGATGGGTACAATACACTTGTATTGTTTGCGTAAAAAGTTCATATAAATACAAAAGCATTACTCTGAAATCTTTATTAAGGGAAATGCAAAACCAATATATGAACAAGGTGCCTAAGCATTCTACACAGCTCCAGGGTGGAAGAGGAGAGCACCCAACCCAATGCTCTGACTCGCTTTGTGGAAGCTGTCTGGGATACCTTCAGTCTGACCATGTCAATGTACTGTAGAGTCTGTAATGGTTTTGAAACTACAGAAAGTCTCGTAACATTGTACCACCAAATGAAAGAAAATGATGGTGTTTCTGTGCACTCAGCCTCTTCTGCAAGAATCTGTGAACACTGCTACCAACTTAGGCGGCAAAGCACATTGTTTTCACCTTTCATTCAGTTTCTTTAAATTGACGACATTGCTAAAGAAAGGAGAAATAGCTCTGGGTATCCCGCACAGCAGAACCGTAAGGAAATACAGATCTTCTCATGTGTAGCTTATGAGTTTAGTTTGGAAAGAACTTTAGCACTTATCCAACCTGTGCAGGAGGAACAAAGCTCTCCTGGACTGGTACCAATTTCTATTAGCTTTGCAACAAACCCCACGCACCACTCATGTTCCAGCTTTCTCTGAATTTCCTTTTTTGTTAGCTTGCTTTTTTAGCTGGCTACGTACACTGTCTGAAAAGAAACATGACTACAAGCATATTCAATAACAGAATCAAACAGTCATTCCATTTTCTGTTATCTACTTACATTTTATTACAGACTAATATGAAACCATCTCATATTCATACTAGAATTATTGTAATTACTTGTGAGCAAACTTAAACCAGTCTTGAATGTTTATATTTATTGCAAGCAGATTCATGTCTCCTGCTTATATATTCTGCATAAGGACCCAAAATGTGACTGTATATAAACAAGTTATATTCGGTTATCTACAGAAATAAAAGTTAAAAATAGCACTGAAAAGAAACTTTACAGTAATGTATTCACACACTGACTCTTCAAATCAAATAAATGAAGTGGTACAGGATAATCTAAACATTAGATCTGAAGGCTGATTTATTCTCAAATAAATGCACCTCTAATCGTACAATTAAAATAAGTGTCAGTATTTGGTGCTGATGACTACAGACATCCTTAATGTTTAATGCACAGATAACTACCCCCTAGCCCCCATACAGCAACTTTCGCAGATTCTACTTTACATTAGATCATGAAAAGACATTTAAAATGCAATGTGTACATAGCACAGAATTTATGTCAGAGACAACGCAGATTAAAATTCTGTGAATTTTTGTAAGGTAAAAAATTAAAGCTATATAAACTGATTTTTAGATTACTCTGCAAAGTAGAATCACATACTTTTTCACTTTCATAATACTTTCACAAATTTCCATTAAAGCTTTTTTAGCAGAGAGAGTAGCATGAGCACAATGATCCCACTGGCTTCCAAAAGAAAAGTAGTGCAGTTGCTCAATTAAGCTATTTTTCCTTTTATATTTGCAAGCCAGTTGGGTCAAGACAAACAGGCTAATGCAAGCAAGAAAGTAAACTGTAAGCTTTTACGTTAAGTGGCTGAACAAACAATTATCGTACATGGTAAAACAAAAAAGATCTTTTGCCACAAGCCACTGCAGGAATATATGAACTTCAGTGGCCAAAAAGCTTGAAATACTTTCTAAGTCTTCACGTACATTTGGTTAGCGCTTACCAGTTTCAAGACATTTATAGAAGCAGTTATGGAGACACTATGCTGTTAAAGCTGCAACAATTTAAACAAGGCAAGTTAGGAAGTTATATAGATTTTTATACTTTTCCCCTTTCATTCTTTTTTATTTTTAATACATAAAAATCTGTCTCCTTTCAGGGTCCCATCCATAATAAAACACTCTAATGCATTTTGATCTAACTTCTACTTTTCATCTTTGTATCATCTGATCCATTTACAATGAAACTCCAAGTTAACGCCTGCGGCAGTGGACTAGGTTTGCACGGTAACAGTATCGGGGACTGAAGCAAAAGCACATCAAGTGAAACCGAGTTGATGTTTTATGTTTTTTTTCCAATAAACGGTCTATTGTAACAAACAAACAGTACCAACTTCTAAAGGAAAAAGTATTGCTAAATCAAAGCAGAAACTTCCACCTAAATTCAAGCATTCTTTCTCCTCCAAAAGCCGACATGTTTAACTAAAATTTCCCAAGCGCTTCTATAGGTGTTTCAGCCTGAATAACATTGTTAATAATTCCTAAGTGCAGGGCTACATGAAGTTTGCAATGAACTGCTTTGTTAGTAGGCAGAACAGGAATGCAGCATTTTCAAAAACATCAAGCAAAAATCTCCTTATTTAAGGCTAAAAGATGGAAAAGTAAAAAAGCAGGAGGCTTTAGAGAGTAAAAAAGCTAGCAGTAATAGTATAGCACTGAGAGTACAGCACTCTGATCACCGCTATCACAAATACCAACAAAACAGCAATAGTTTGGATGAGACTGACAGAGCAATAGACCTATATTTCTAATTTGACATTCATTAGAATTTTGACATTCAGCCACAACTCCACTCTAAGCTAAATTTAAGTGGCCAAAACTCATAGGTATAAAAAAAGCCTTCAAAACATATACTTAAAAAAAAAATAGAAATGGTGTGTTAACAAATGTATGCGTAAAACAGATATATAAATAGCTACAGTATGAAAAATATTTCAGTGCAAAGGCAATTTTAAGATTTCTAAAAAATACATTACAAATAATTTGTTAACTACACACAAGAAATTTGTCACTGCTACTGGTATAAAATTTATACCCATATTAACTTTTTAAAAATATATACACCAGTGTTTTATGTAGGGGACGGTTCTAACTGACCAACATTCAAGTCTGCAATGGCAAGTATATGCACACACACCCACACACACATGTACGTATTTCAAAATGTTACTGCTATGAGGACATTCTTTGAAACCTAAAAGTGCTACATGTTAAATGGTGAAAATAACTTCGTCTGTGGCGCTCACCATTAGGCTTTTTAAAATTCTCATATCTTTGGTATACTGCAAATTTCACAATTCACTCTACAATCTCTGCTTGTCCCAGGGCATTTTAGTAATATTTGACTGTTTGTTTAATGCAAAAATCACTCAGAATATTGTGAGGAACATTTCCTAGTAAGCCGATTTTTCTTTACTAAGAAGTAAATTAGTAAGTTAACTATTTGGCCTCTGTTTTTCTTTTAAACACAAAAAGGGAGATAATTTTCTCTGCCACCCTAGTCCAATTGAAAGACAACTCACAATGTCTTGGCCACATCTTCCAATACAGGCTGCAGCTCTGATTCCAAATACTTTGTTTTCACCTTGTAATACATTTTTAGCTCATGTCCTCCCAGAGGTATTTAACGACTATGGTTATTAACCAGCTCTAACCGCCAGGCTGAAATTGATTGACATCAGATTACTCCTTCAGATATTTTTGCACCCCAAAATAAAACACTGGACTAAAGAAACAAGACAAGGACACAGCTAAGAGTCGAATTAGTGCAAGGTAACATAAACGTAGCAGAGAAAACAGAAGTGCAAGTTGGCTGTCATTCTTGAAGTAATTCGAACAGAATCCTTGCAGTCAAATAGTTTCTGTAACACAACTTCGGTTCAACTCCTAGTAAACAGCCGTGTGCCACCTCGTGGTTTGCTTGCAAAACTTAACAGCTCTGTGCTTTGCAATACATCTACCAAGCCAATTAGCCAGTATTTAACCATACACGCAAAAAACCCTCAAAATCAAGAGGACGAATCCCGGTAGTAAAAGACCCTTATTTGAAAAAACAGCCTTTCTTCTTTTAAGGAAAAAAATGTGCCAAAAAACCCTTAATATATAATACCTTCTGCTATGCCTATTTTACAATCATGGGGATAGGAAGTGGGAACACCGGGTAATCTGCATCTTTGACAAATTCACAAAGACCTTTTAGGCAAAATGCTTACATTCAGTTTTTGAGTAGATATTAACATTGATATTTACCTATTTAACAGCCAACTTGACTTCATACAGTGTGTACGTACTCTACGCAAGGATTGTTTTGCCTATCTTTCTACGGGGGAAAAGTAACTGAAAACCAGACATAGCCCTGATTTGGCCACTTACAAGGAAGTGAACATTAGAGAGTGTTTCTTGAAAGCAGATTTGCACAGAGGAAACACCAGTTTGTTCTACAGAAAAAGCAGAGAAAGAAAAAGGACAGAGGAAAATCAGAAACAGCACTTGTTAAATATGCTTTAGGAGACTTTCACTGGAGATAACTGAGGTCATTGCTTCTGGCTGAAAATTAAAACTGTTGATCTCAAAATGTAGGTCACTAACTGAAACTATACACTTCAAGTAACAAAGAAAATGACTAAAGACGACAGAAGCAGTAAATGCACAAGTGTCTTGACACAGGATGAAGAGAATTTTTAGTGCTACCAGTCTCACAGTACCAGACTGTGCAGATTGTTCATTGCTCCAGTAGTTCAAAACATAAAAAGAGGCCTGTTTGGCCTGGAAGGGTTCATACTTCTAGCTCTTGTTCCTGTTTGTCTGAACATTACCTCAGACAGCAAAAGCCAGGTATAGTTTAATATGTTTCTGTGACATGTTTGTTTCCTGAAAAAAGAAATAAACAAAGATACAGTTTTTAAAGGCTTGACTTGGTGTTCTGTCACACAGACGTTTCCAAACCTGACCCACTGTAGCGGTAGCCTGCACTGGAACGGCAATGCTTATTTGAATAGCCAAAGACAGATGGAAGTACTGAATAATCAACGCCTTTCCAATGCGTAAACATCATTTTTTTAGAATGAGAATTAGACCTTCTTGCTGGGGAATTGCTGCAGTCACTGCTCCTGTATCTTGGGCTTTTCAGACAGGCAAGAGGTGTGAATTCCGAGATGTGCTCCCGACAGTGCCTCGATGCATTCTGTCAAAAGGAAAAAAAAACAAATACACAGTGAATAGATGATTTTGGAGCTAAAAGTCTACAATTGTGTTCTTCCATAGGGCCATTGTGCCCTTGGTATAGCAATGCCTTTCACTAGATCACCACTCTGGCTATTTGTTTCATGGAAAGGTATAAACCCTCATGATGTTGAGCAATCAACCATTTTCAACATGATTAGTTTTATATTAAGACCTACAGAACCAGGCATAATTTTACATATAGTCTCTAAACCTGACAATGGTCTCTTCAGAGAACAGATGAGGACACGGAGGACTGCTCTCAAGTTGAATTGTTTTAAATCAGGTTTATATTTCGTTTTGTGATCTCTCCTGGTACATCCTTCCATCTCTGAACTTTTTTAGTCAGGATTTCTTAAAGGGAATTTTAAGACAGAACAGATTCAAGTACTTTGCCCTGTACTTCCAAAGAGAGGGAATTCTTTACAGTTGGTTCGTGCTAACAGATGGAAGTTCCAGAGGTTCAATGCACTTGCTTTGTACTTTCCAACCGAAACCATTCTATGATTCTAAGCAGCATCTGATTTTGGACTTGCTTAGGTTATGTGTAGCATCTGTACAGGCAATTTATACTACACATTGCAATACTATCTTGGTCTAACTGTCCATTAAAATTTATCTGTACCACATAATCCCTCCACACTCTGGCAGAATCGGCACTTCCACTCAGGAAATACTCAGGACTACAGTAACGCCATGGTTGCATGACAAGACCCTGGAACATGTGCACAAACTGAAAGAAAATCAGCACAGCACTTTTCTCAATGAGTTTATCTAATTCTTCTGACTTAAATGCACAGATAATTTCCAGGTATAGAGGTATGGTGGTTATGTGATGGTATTTAAGATACAAATGCATTACAAGCGTGATTCAAATAAATGTTGTTAATGACTCTTCATGAATGCTACATAAGCCACTCAATCCACTGTTCTTAATCACTCCCTTCCTCCTACCCTGTTAACAGCAACACAGTAACAAAAAGGACAAAATCACAAACTAAATATTAATGATGTAGCCTATAGAAGTTTGGCTGAGATTTAATACTACATTTTTAATGCCAATCACAAACTTGAAACACTACTCTTGCATAACCAAGAGCAATCAGAAAACTCTCTTACAACAGTTACTCTTGGAAAAGTCAGCAAACTACACCAAACTGCTCACTAACAGTGAGGCCTGTGTTCTTTTAAACACACATATAGACCAAATACCAACATTAACACTGAAAAATGAAGATAATCAGGTAACAGATTAGCAGATTTTGTTTTGGAAATGTTGGGGGAAATAATCTTACACTATATAGTAACTATTTTTCCTATTCTTCCAGCTAGAAAGTGAAGCATTTTAGTTACCATATGTATTTCTAAAAATAAAATCATGTTTTTTCAACACATAGCTCCAAGGCAAGCGCTTTCAACCTGCCATGCTTGAAGATACTCAAGAAAGCTGAGGTTTTCTACTACTACTTGTCTAGCAGTCATTAAAAGTAAATGAAAAGCACGCTTCAACTACCTTGAAGCCCACACAAGCCCATTACATTTCATTTGTCCTCTTCACGTATTGATACTTCGCACCTTCACTCAGTTCATCCTGTGCTGCTTTTGGAGTCAGGAGAGCATGAAGGGACTGGAGCAGATATGGCAGCCAGGTGTGAACGTATTTGAGTACAAAGTGTATCTTCTTACATACACTTGTTCATGTAATCTGTGGCGTGGCAAGAAGATGATGTAAAGCAAAGAACTTCATTCTGCTGCCCTAATGTTTGGAGAATTTAGGAGTTCACCACTCATACGGCTGTCTCAGGCATTTGGCAAGGCTACCACGCTTCTCTCCTGATCCCAGGCAGCAATGCAGCCACGCGCTGGCCTATACAGAACACATGACTATGGTAGATATTGCCGGATACACAGCCCCAGTCTCCTGACCCAAGGTCCTATTCACAGGTAACTCACTTCCTTTTGTATGGTTATCTTCCTCCGTTACTGTCTGCATTTGGTCTATATATGTATTCAAGAGCACAAGAGATGATGGATGAACTACTAAGGTGTGAGAATTACTTCTGACTTATGTATTCTACACCATGGTGCGATGTGAGTACACTCTGCAGTAATGACTGCAGTTCTTACAGAAGAAATGTCACACAACACCTATACATAACACAATGTATTTATGGGACTTTATTATGGGTATATGGATTCATTATTTTGCTGTACATAAGTAAGTGTCCGAGACAAAAAGATCTTACCTGTTGCATGGAACATCTCTTGCAAAAACTAGGCTCTCCAAGTAAAACATAACGATTTTGTATCAATATGAATAAAGTACATCAAAAACTCTGGAGGAAACAGTTGATTTGTAAATAGCACAGTTCACCAATAAAAATTAATCCAAACTGGCAACACATACAGTACTGTTACCTAGCTTTGATCTAATTATGGCTCGGAAGCTGAAAGAATTCCTTCAAGAAGTCGCCCATCGCTGTTCGCCAGTGCATTTAGGGCTGTTTTATGTCTCATACTCTTCTGCAAGGATGAGGAAAAACAGTGAGACTCTTGCTGAATACAAGAGGGAAATGTGAATGAACGGTACCATTTGGTACAAATGTAAATATTGTAGCAAACTCCTGTAAAAGTGACGGATTTTCTGATAGATTTAAGAAGGAAAGGTTACCCAGTGTAAAACAAGGTTTCTATTTCTTGATCCTGAAGTTAATCCTTTGAGTCACTCTGAGGATGTTTCCAATTCAATTTCAAACTCTGTTAAAAATACTTAATTACTCTCAAAAGCACTTAACTGTACCATGACTAAGTACCGTGGGCTGCGGGTCTTTCCCCTCTGACAATAACCTGTACTGAATGGGAGAGGTCCTCGTGATACGATGAGGTCAAATCGATTTCAAATTAAGGAGCGGACGTTCTGCTTCACTACTCCCCAGAACAACTGGTACACTGAAGGGAGTGCTGCACACGGAGGTGAAGGGGCCACTGCTAATGAAGGCTGACTTACAGCTTAGTCATTACCCTACGAGGAGAGAGGGCAGGGGAGTTACCAAGGTAACTTCTTCCATGGGATTCAAATATTGCCACAGCAAGATCCATTTCTTTGTTTTCCACAGAAGAGGAGCCCGATACATGACAAAGACAACAGTTTGCTGTTGACCAGTGTTTTAAGAGCCCTGTGCAGTTGTTCAACACCAGCTAAGCCCCTTGAGGAACAGAAGAATGATGAATCCCCAGAGAGGCTTCCCAGGCAAAAGTACCACTTTGGGTTCCCCCAAGCGCAGCAAAGGGTAGAGATCTCATAACAAGGCTGATGGGCCGATCTTGTGACTGAAGTGACAGTGAAGTAAAAAAAATAATCAGTCAGAAGCAAAGAGAAAAAGAAAATTATTTCTTAAAAAGGAATGATAGCACAGAAGTCACTTACAGCTCAGAATCTAAACACCTGGTATTTCAGCTATAAAATATTTCAGAATGCTGAAACACTGTCAAAGTGACAGTTATAAAAACGAAGAGGATATTTAAAGTGAATTTACATTTTCCCTAACAGAGCTGCTGAGCTTCTGCTATCAAATGAAAGAAGAATAAAGAAAAAGGAAATATAATCAATTAATGTAGATTGGATATAGTAAAACCATTGTTCTTTAAAAGTAAAGGTTGAAAGAAACCTCATAGCTGCACAATTTCCAGTTAAAACACAAAATTCAGCTTTTTTCATTGAGCCAAAGAGTCACTGGGACTGCATGTATGACAGACATGAGCAGATTTTGACCAAAATTGCCAAAAGACAACAGATTCCTCCAAAGCTTTTGCAGAATTAGTGTTTTAGCTCAAGACAGACAACAGTTCATAGGCATATATATATAAATATACATGCACATATATACACATATACTTTTATGTACATATATGTCTGTGTATACACACACACCCCTCTGTATGTGTGTATATAACTGAAAAGCTCTCCCAAATAAAACAGAACTAGATACAGAATGTTTAAAAACATCTGAATGATAATGGACTTGATGATCTTGAAAGCCCTTTTCAACCTAGACAATTCTATAATCACCCACCACACACTGAAGTGACTCTCAAATAATTGAAACACTCAGAACTGCCTGAGGAGAACTAATGTAGTAAGCTGGGAGGTGGCTGCTGGTCCTATGTTAGTCTTGTCAATTGTTCCAGAAGCCCTTTATTACAAAGAAAGCAATATAGCTTATAGGAATGCAGTACGTTTAAAAAGAATTCCTTACAAGCTCTGTTCAAACCAATCCTAAGGCACTTAAAAGCCGATTTTAGACAGAATTTTCCATAGTGAAAAAAACTTTGTGTGTTTTCCCTGTGACTTAGGTAATTACAGTAATTTTTATTGACTATACATTTTGGAAGGGGGGAATAAAGAGGAAATGTATGTTTGATCTTAACCAGTTAAGAAATAAAGATATAAAATCTGCAATGGAAACCAACAGTCTCTTAGTACTAAGTCAAAAATAGTTTTCTCACAGACTGTAGGGAAGCCAAGGCTTACTAGCATTTCTTCTACTTTTACTTTATATTAGATGTCATATACTTTTGGATCTTGAGCTGTTTTCCTTCTAGAAGGACCACAGAATTTCGTAAAATGGAATATAAGGAAAGCTCAGTTTCAAAATGCATGCTGGAAATAACTTATTAAAAAGTTGCATTTTCTTCTATCACAGAAGAGCAGATATACTAATATATTCTAAAGATCGCTTAAATGGCTTCCAGTACCACATTTTCTCTATTAGGCTAGTAATATCAGCAATATCAGAGTTCACTTCTTTCTGTGTCAACTATTCCATTTATTCAGGTACAATGCAAGCATGACATGCATTCACCAACAGATAGACCAATTATTAAAATGAGGATCTAAGAATCCTAGTTTCTTGAGGCAGAAACATTATGTAAAATTCAGTAACAACAGTGACAAAAATGACAGTGATAGTGATGGACTGTGACAACAATTCATAGAATCTTTGAGGTAAACAAACAGAAGGAAAAAACTATACTAAAAAGTATTCTTCAAAATATAGTTGATGTGAATCAGAAATGGAGATGATGAGTACGGTAAATAACTTCTGATGACAAACTTTTTACTGTCCTTTGAATGAAATGGCCAAGCATGCAGAAAGGCAGAAAAAAGTCACCTTTTGTTCCATTAGAAACTTAGACTGCTTGAAGTCTGAGAAAGCATAAAGATGGTGGACTGCTCAACAGAAAGGCACTGATGTTTAGTCTGATTTCCCCAGCAGATTGTAGGAAGTAACCGTGCACATCATTTATGTTTAAAGCAAGGCAGCAGTTATTTAGACAAAGTGGATTGGAAGACAGGAAGAAACAGAGAGGGAAGAAGAAACACAAGGGATATAGCTGGTTAAAAGTCAAAGATTTTCTACTAAGTATTAAAAAATGAATATTGCCAGTGTTAAGCCCAAAGGCTGCTTTACAAATGATTAATTTTCCAGCACGAATATTCAACGTCTGTAAGAAATGCTGTAATACCGTTATTCGGGTATTTTGTTTGCTAGCTTGTTTCTTTGCGTTAACCCACTCTCCGTCCCCCTCTTTAGACTTCAAATTTAGAATTTAAAAATTAAGCATGCAGAACCTATAATGAGATCAACTTCTTCCACAAGTGGCATATATAGCAAAGAGACATCTACTAAAGATATCAAAACAGAAAAGCACTAAATGTCGATCTGCCTGGGAATGTTTTTCTGCTATTCTTTTTTCTTTCCTGTCCTCCTAAAGTGGGGCATTTTCACAACTGTACATTCAAGGAATACAAAACAATGGCAAGGGGGTTTACTTTGCAAATATGAGAAGAGTTTTTTGCCTTTGCCAAAGGGGAAATTTTCCTTTCCTTAGAAGTAAAGTTCCTTTATTCCTTTCCTCTTAATGAAAAGTATCTTCACAAATAAACATCAAAATGCTAACTAATCCCTACAAATGCAGTCGCTGGTAACTCATTATTTCAACCTACCAGTGGCTGATGGGCTGAAAATGGTAAGGGCAATAACATTAAGTTTCAGGTTCAACACCTCTACTGTCCTTCACCTTCTAACATATATAATATATGAAAGTTTGTTGGAATCAAAACTAGAGGTAAAAGTTTCTACTGGGGCTGGTTTGATGCCCCCAGAATAGTACCACGCATTCCACAGAACCTGACTTCCCTTTCAGCCTCAACAGAGCAAGTCTTTATTTACACCATAGTTTCTCCTTTTGGGCTTATCAGAAGCAAGGTGACAACAGATTTTAGAACACTATTCCATCGGCACAGCAAGGCATAATGTATGAAAACAGGCAAAACATAAGGTGAAATATAAAAGAGGAAATAATTATTAATAGAATATGAATAAGTTTTAATAGAGGTGTTTTGTAACAGCCACAGCATCAGTATAAAATAGTTTGAAGTATTATATTGCACAGATCATGCAATATGAATGTTGGTTTGAGTTTACTACATATTCCTTACCAACATACTATATACTCATCACATTTATTGTAAGTGTATAAATTCTAAATTTATTCAATAATAAACACACATACAGTTGTAGAGTCCCTTGGTATGAGATTGCAACTGCTTGTGCAAATCCCTATGTTAAGGGGGATTTCAATAAAATCACATGTTCCACTCCTACTGGTTTTATGTTGAGCTTAGTTTATTTTAGCTGATTTTCCACATTTTAGGTAACTATGCTTATCTTGCACGGTAATTGCTAAAATGTCCCCATTAGAGTTTCATTTATGCAGTAGAATGACTTGGTATGAAAGATAATTACTTCAATTCAGGGGTGTGGGCAGTGCCTCTGAATACTCCACAATAGCAGGAACAACTGCCGTCCAGGCTGATGTAGGTGCCTCCTACATCAAGGTGCCTCCTCACCAAGATCCCAATCCCGCTGTCCTTCTTATGTCCTCAAGCCAAGAACCATGTTGAGCCATATACCTGTCTCCCACCATCCTCATCAGCTGATTTCCCCATGGTTGCCTGGACGCTGTCCTGTGCAACCTGCTGTAGGTGACCCTGCTGTGGCGGGGGGGTTGGACTATATGATCTCCAGAGGTCCCTTCCAACCCTGACCATTCTCTGATTCTGTGATTCTGTGGTTGCTGGTAGGGAGGCAGAGGGGTTGCCCCAGGGTTTAGGTAAATGCCACCATGTAAATAATAGGCAGTGTCTTTCACCATACAGCTCAGAAGTGGCTGGTATACAACCAGTGACAGACATCACAGGTGGGGAACCTCTGTTCTAATCTCGTTTCTAACCTTGAAAGAGGTCTAATTATTAGAGACTTGTGATACAAAAAACTAACTTCACAATGACAAATATTTTTACCTGGATTCTTTCTGTTGCTGTAGGCCACAACTGCCTGCATAAGACCTTCTTGAGAACGTCTGGAAGAAGGCTGACAGTTATGAGCAGAATTATACCCAGCCACGCAGGACCACTAGACAGCATTTGCATGAACACGTAATACATCCTCTGATAATTGAGAAAAGGCCTAGTAGGAAGAAGATTAAAAAGATATTACACTGCAATACACAAAAGAAAGACTTCCAATGTTAAATATAATAATTATGACAATGATGAAATACTTCAGGTTCAGCTTCCCAGTTTGTGGGAGTTCATCCACCCCAGTTTTCTCAAAAGGAGATCTAAATATTCACTGACTAGAGAGAACTACCTTCCTCTTGTCTTCCAGGCTGCAGAAAATACCATGCTGTCCTCCCATGCTGGCTCTCCCTTGCAAAGATAAACTAAGTTACATTTTTATCCTATTCGTGTTCTTCCATCTACTGCTTATCTTGCCCCAGATATTTCCTCCTTTCTTCTCAGTGTCCCACCCATCACTTCCCTCCTCCTTCCCAATGCACACTTGCTTGTACGTATCCTCAGAGAAAGGCTCGTTGAGCACACCTTTTTTCATGCCTCTCAAGCTCCCTTAAGCATCTCTGATGGTTTCGTGTCATACTCCCTAACCTATTCACCACGTTTTTATCTGCCCCCACTTTCACTGCCTTCACTTCCATGTTTCCCTCTATTTCCATAGCAGTTGTGTGGTCATTAAAATGCCATCACTGTATGGTAATGGGAACCAGAAGCCATCTTTATTGAGAGCAAAGATCAATGGACAGTTTGTAGCAACACTCCAATGTAAAGCCCATCTACCGGTAGGGCAGTTTCTTGCTGGTTTCCAAAATTTGATAGAAGTCCTTGCATTCTGAAAAGGTAATCAAGTTAAAATACATTGCTGTATTTAGTTACATCTCTAATACACAGCAAGGCTGGCTAGGAAACATCAGCAGGGAAAATGTCATTACTGCAAACTGTTTTCATTTTGATGATGAAGAAACTGAGATCTTATCTTACTGGGGAAAAAAGAAAAAAAAGAGGCCACTGAGTATCCAAGGAGTTGCCAGGTAGTTACTAATTTGCAAAGAACACATTGAAATACAGATCCTTACTCCCAATTAAATGGCACCTTAATCACCATGCAACAGTTAGCCTCTGCTTTCTCTCTGGTCCCTCAAAATGTTTACTTATGTATACAAAGTAGAACAGTTCCAGCAAAAGAGGTTAGAAAAGATAATCTTGTAACTGGGCACTATCTACAGATAAGAAAGGCAAATTCAAGTTCCTGTTGGCAATCAGGCAGAGTAAGAACTTGAACCTGATTCAACTTGATCTCCTTCCCAAAAATTTCAGTTTCAAGTACACAGAATTTTTTAACAGCAAAAACCCCAACACCTACTTTCAATCAGCTATGTACAAGAATGATACTAATTCTTAAAAAGCTTCTTACCAGCAATAGAACAAGTAGGCGCTCAGACGCCTACAGTAAATCTACTTTGCTAAGTAAGGGGGCAAATAATAAGCTAAAACACAGGACTCCTGGTCATCCACACAACTTCAATCTTAGTTCCGCTCCCTGGCCCTAGTTTAGACTGCTGCAGTTAGTTCCCTCCCAGACAAGTTGACTAGATGGGTGGCTAGACCCAAGCTGCATAGATGTGACCTACTCAGGGACACTTTGCCTCATTCTGACAGCCTCAGCTACTTGAACCAACCCTTGGACTGCTTTTGACTGATAACTACTGAGATAGCCTCAGTGGCAGCCTGAGGTCCGATATGCCTCTCTTCATAGTCTTCTCTAAGAATATTGCAGCAGCCTTTCAGTGAAAGAGAAGCTGAACATTCTGTAATTACCATTACTGATGTGTTTAAAATGTGACTGCTATTGGGAGTTCTGCAATACATAAAAGCTAAATTTAATTCTGTTTGGAACAAAAAAGTGAAATACATAACAACTTTATAACAACCCTTTCTGAAATAACATTTGTGATGCAATTTATATGAGGGTTCATACCAAATAATTCCTCCCCAGAGCAGAGAAAAGACAATGTAGAATACCAGTGATCCCCAGATCATGAAGTGATTTATCCACGTCCAATAGTGTGTATCTAGTGCAAGCTGAAAAAAAACCCAGATGAGATTATATAGTGTTATAACTATCTAGTAGCAACAGAATACTCAGCAGGAGACGAAATAAAATTACACCCTTTGAAAAAATGGAAGGATTCTACACAGAATTAGCTAAAAAACATTGTTCAATTTTGAGCCTAGTTAAGAAGGCACAGATAGCAAAACTTGTATTTAAACTAATTTAAACTAGTATGACAATGTATGGTCATAGAGAGAACCCAATATAAGCAAGCAGCAATCAGAAAACAAGCTCTAAGAAAGTTTCAATGGATAAAATACAGCATGCCTTACCTTCAATGTAACCGTGAATACAAGCACAGTAAACACCAGTGTTCCAAACGTCCAGTTTCCAAACATCTATAAAAAATGGTTCAAAGCAGTTATAGGTAACATTGTACACTTGTTCATTATCAAGAATAAACCTCTTAAAACTATGTATTGCTTTGTATCAGGAACTGACACTTAAGCAACAACACTGAATTCATACATGATCTATCCAGTGCAAATTGTTTTGGTTTCTCACACTTGTGTGTACACACCTCAGACTTCATACAGACAGGAAAAAAACACAATCAATGCACTCAACCTAAAGTTCACAGGAAGTTTCTTAGTAAAAAAGAAGTGTAGCAGTTAACAAATCACTGAGATTTACAAACGAACTGCAAAAATTTCAATCTTCTTGAACATCATCTTTTCTCTATCTCCTTCCTCTGCTGTCCTTGGTGTTCCATGATTTCTTGGAAGTTCAACAGCATGTTATACAGATGAGTAACAGTACAAGAAAGAATGGGATAACCATCAAAGCCATGTAACTACATAAATGTTCTATATACATTTAAAGACAAAATACTTTTGAATTGTGGTTGACTTTCTCCCCACCTGCATCACGAAATAAAAACACTTTAACTTTTCAAGTGGGCAGAAATGATCATTAATGCTGATGGAGGGAAGAACCGGTGGTGAATATGGTCACAGAGGACTGCACGGACTGCTGCAGCTATGAAACAACAAAGTTCAGGATCCAGAGAAACGCTGGGAAAGTAAGCAACAGAACTAGGACACTGTATTTTAGAAGACACTTTGTTTTATTCTGAGCATTTCACCCACAAAAGAGAAGGGCGCCAAGAGAGCTGTATGATTTTGAAAGAGAAAAATGGTGAGATGTCATGAACCATGTTCTGCAGGAAGACATGAATTTTCCGCAGAAAACCCAGCTGGCCAAGCAGAACATTTCTCAATGAACAAGAAGGCAAAATGGGAGCATATAAGAGATGACAATATGTGCAGGTAGCAAATAGGTAGCATAAAAGCATTACCTGGGTACAGAGGAACAAAATCACACAGGCTGAAGGTCAGCTCGAACTAAGATTAGTGAGGGGCGTTGAGGGTCATGAAAAGGATATTTACAGGTATTCTAATTTCAAAGGGAAAATGTAAGTCCACTGAAGGCACTAGTGGAAGGTGTTAAAGAAAATGCTAAAGTATTCAATATTCTGGATATTAAGTCTTCAAGAACAATGCCTGCTCCTTGCATTTAACAGCAAAGCTTGGGCAGGAAAGGAGCAGCCAACAGCGTGGGAGCAACAGGTTAAGGAGCTGTTAAGGAGGGAGAGCAGTGGATGCAATCTATTTTGAATTTAGCAAGGCATTTGACACACTTGACTCAGGCAGTATTCCCATTTGAAAGACAAAGAAGCCCAGGCTGGGTAAATGGAATACTACTTGAGTTGAAAATTGGCTGAACCATCGGACTCAATAGTTTAGTGATCAATGACTTGATGTTTGGTCGGCCGGTGGTAATCAGGGAACGACACCAGGGACTGACACCCCGGCTGATATTGTTGAATATATCTGTCCATCGCCTGGATGGTGACACAGACAGTATCATAAGCAAATTGCCAGGTGGTACAAAAATAGAGAATGGCTGACATAACGAATGGCAGAGCCTCAGTCCAGAGGGACCTCTATTGATCTGAGAAGTGGAATACAGATCTCTTCGGAAGTTCAATAAGGAAAAGTGCAAAGTCTTACACCTATGGAAGTGTAATATATTGGAACTGACTGGCTGCGCAATGGCCCTGCTGAAAAGGAAGTTGCAGTGGGGTTACAGTGGACTCCAGGTTGAATACAAGCCTACACTGTGCGCTCTCTATAAATAAGGGAAACTGCAAACTGAGCTGTATTGGAAGGAACATGGCCACTGAATCAAGAAAGGTTATCACTCCCCTCTGCTCAGCCATAGTGAGGTTGAACCTGGAACACCGTGCCCAGTTTTGGACCCCTCTGTTCAGGAAGGATGTGAAAAAAATTGGAAAGGATCTAGTGGCAGTGAATCAAGATGGTTAGCAGTCTGTAGCTCTCCTGTGAAGAGAGGCTGAAGGACTTATTTAGTTTGGTGGAGTGGAGGTTAAGGAACAACCTAGTAGTTGCCCACAAATATCTGAAGAACAATTACAAAGATGAAGACCTGCAACCGACCTCTCTTCAGCAACAAGAAAAATTCTGCTTAGGTACTATAAGAAATTTTTTCACCATGAAGACAGAAAAACATTGGAAGAGGTTGACCACAAAGGTTACCAAATCTCCATCCTCAGGGATATTCTAGACAAAGTCTTGAGCAACTGCACAAAGCAAGGAGTTGAACTGGATCACCTCCAGGGTCCCTTTCCATCTACATTATTCTATATGAGCTTACACAATATTAGATGACGGGGGATCCACATGGGCAAATGATCACACAAATATGCTGCCATGGAAAAAACTCTGAATGGACACCACAGCCAGCCACAAGACAGCTATCTGTAGTAAACTAGGCTGAGATAATCTGATCAAGCGGGAAGAGCAAACCATTTTAGAAAAATAAACAAATCACTGGCTGAAAGATGCATTATTCAATTTCATTATTTTAAAACTATTATTATTATTATTTTAAAATTACTCAATTTGTGACCAAGTGTACAGACACAAGATGAAGTGCAGAAAAGCTTCAGCATTTTGACCTGACTTTTACTTTGGTATCTAATACGATAATTGAATAGGGTCATGCCCTTGCTGCAGTATTTTGTGGGCCCTAAAAAAAACATTAAAAAATCAGTGCAGTTAAAACAGTACAGAAATCTGGTTTAGGAACTTTAAATTATGCAAACGTTTATCAACTTTCTTCTTGCAGTTACATTTTTATAGTATTCTCATGTCATATCTGGCATCTCCTGGAGAGTCCAGTGTCAGTCTAAGTTTCTGCATACTGAACAGATGTGTCTGTATTTCCAGTAAAAGCTGCTAGATTAAATAAAAAAGTTTAAACAACCTTCCCCCTATCTCTGTTTGTCAGGCTAGATAGAAAGCATCAGGCTGCAACTAAACCCTTCACCTACCCAGCTTTTTGGCTCAGAAAACAGGTCATAGCACAGGGACACCAGACTCCATAAGGCTGCTAATTTGGCACAGAGAAAGGTAAGCAGAACAACATGGGATGGTGTGACTTACAAAACCTCACAATGTATTTTCAGCACTATCTCAAGATACTACTCATGTCTTCAGGGTGTGAATCATTCTTTTGTAAGTCTGTTTGTTAACATCTAGTTTATTAAATATTTTTCTATGCTCTGCTCCCAGCCTATCCAAGACTTCCGCCCTCCTCCTGCAACTGTAGTTGTTTTATCTTCCATGTTCCTATGTAATCCACTCCGCATCAAATGTTAAAATAAAAAAAATCACACAGGAAATACAGTTTATTATATGGGTAAACTAAGATGACACTTACAATCTGCAATCACTTCTACTGTGCCTTCTTTTCTTCTTACCTTCCTTGTGTAGTTGGTCTCTGACTACATGTTTTTACAACACCAATCATGTCATATCCAAAGTGGAACACCACACACAAAGTAATATCACAAATTAATAACAATTAAAAAGAGATAAATCTTTGGCATCTTAGTTTTGTTTACCAGAAAATAGTTGAGGCAGGCATTATGAAGTAAGTCTCAGTGATTAAAAGTACACTTTTCCGTTATTCTAGTAATATCACTCTACAGCATGCAAACAGTTTCAAACAAACTTCTAAACACTGAAAAACATCCTGAGGGGATTATGTTTGGAAGCAACCTTAATGGTAAGTAAATTTTAGTCTGACACAGGCATCAATCTAAGTAAAAGACATTGACTTTCTTCAATTTTTACTAGTTTCACAAAAATGGTGATTAAATAATTTCTGGACAGAAAGAAGAATTAAAAATTTTTGCTTCAGAGCCCATTTTAACAATTTGGAACCTAACTTGAATCATCTCATATCACTGATGGTATTAGTGCTACCTTCAGCCCTTTTATCCCCTTTCCTGGTTTCTACCTTTTCTCTGTTCCATAATAGCATATTCTTGTGGCAAACCCTTCAAATATTCAAATCTTTCATTGACTTTTTTTCCAGACGTGAGCATAATTTAAATACTTGGAAATAAGCATCAACACCAACTAGCATTCATGTATGTATGAACTCATACGTATCTCTGACTATTCCAGAACACGAACACTTTCAAGCCTTTACATCCAAAATTGCAACTCAAAATCTGGAAGTTTTACATAGGCAAGCATGCATGCTGAATGATGATGAATCTTCTAACCCACTCTGACACTCAAGAGTCAGAATGTCTCATCAAGCAATACATTTTATCGTAAAATATTAACATGGGTATCTAGTTGTAGACACACACATTCAAAATTTGGAAATTAGGCACTAGTCTGGCTTTAGAGCTTTATCAAGTAGAATTTGTTTTAATGTCTGCAACAGAAGTAGACTAAAATTTCAAAAAGGAACCCAATCAGAATATTTCCATTACAAACCATTTACAAAATGTGTACAGGTATGAGAAGTCTAATTTTCAGAACTATAAATATAAGCTGATGAGGAGTTTTGAACATCTAACAGAGAACATAACGGTACCAGAAAAGGAAGTGCTGCAGTCTACAGTTACGTCTAATGGAAATTCATTCTGTCCTTAGAAAAGCTCTTTCCAACAAGTGTTCTCTCACACACTAGAAGTTCATTTTCCTGATAGATATTGTAAAGATGGTATTTAATGGTATTTGAATATTGCATTTCTAGCAAACGTGCATGTTACATATAGACAATAAAATTGTGCCCACTTTATTTTTTCTTACTTTGAGGGTCTTTTCTAAAGCGCTTTATAGCATAAGCTGTAATAACTTTTCTATAACAGAGAGAGTCAGCAACAAAATGTAGGTTACAGAAAAGCATAGAACAAAATAACAAAACGCAAGGAAGCAAAAACCCTGCTTATTTTTTACAGTTCATGGCTCTTTACCACATCTCATATTCCTTAATATACCTTAAATTCTAAATAAGTTCTTTGTATTTTAAGTACTTATAAAGTAGCAATAAGGAACATTTCTATCTATACGTTTAAGTGACATTTTGAATTAATTATAGCGAATATTTAACTGCTCTTTAACAGTTTAATTAAAGAACAGTGAAAGATGAAATGGGTATCATGACAAATCCACAATAGTCTTACCATGTGAGTGCTGGTTGTCATTAGCTGAGGATAGGAAGAGAAGCAAGTAGCAAAAAGAAAAAAAGCACACAAATAAAATAGACCAAAATATCAATGGGTAAAATAAATAAAATGCAAAAGTTCTTAAAATTTGCATTCATGTGACTGCAAAGCGAGTAGAGACAGATTATTTTAAGCTGCATATGTAAAAAAATAACTAAAATACTAAAAAGCTTGTTATATTTCAGCTCTTTTATGATCATTCATAACTACTCTACCAACAGTCTTTTGATATGTTAATCAGATATTCATCAGATGCATGATAGGCATGAAACAGAAGAGTTACTATGTAAATCCTGAAGCAATACTTTCTCCTAAATTCCATCTAGTCCTATGCCTCTCTTTACTACTACACATAATTCCTATTGCATAGCTCAGACTTTGCCAAACAGGTAACCCATCTGTCTCACCATAACTCATAAAACAGTTAGAATCTCTGCTGTAAATCTGAAGAAAACAATTACAACTATGTTCATATTACACTTGACGTTAAAATAATGACCTTTGATTGACTGACCAAATCCAACACTAACCTGTCCATTGCTGGTCACAATTGTGTTGTCAAACAAGAAATAGGCACCAAAGAAAAATACCACAGCATCAAACACTCCTAGGAATGTCCAATAAATAAATGCACGCCAGCGCAGCAAAGCATTCTTGGCAACATCTCTGTGTAAAACAAGATATATGCATTCATTATCAGCATGTTGAAAAAACCTAGACAAATGTTGTCACTCATATTGGTTTTTGAAGGAAAAACAATTAAGAGATTGCATGCAAAACCACTGTATTTCCACACGGCAACTCTCTACCACTTCACATCCAAATCCTTCCTGAACATCTCCTCTTTATTTTTTTTAAATTTAATTTTTACTAAATCCTTTTAACTGCTGCCTGTAATTCTGCCTATTTCAACCATATGGTAAATTCTCCTGTGCTGCAAGCATTTACTTTTCAAACTTTTTACAGAAGGTACTTTTCCAGTATTTGGCTTTGCATGTGATGATCCACTGTAGATTTTAAAAGGTAACACTAGAGGTCTCTCGAGACTTTGCTTTATTTCCCATTGGGTACTTTAATACAGAATATTGCAACAAAATAAGATATTAATTTTATATGGAACATGCAAAACAAGGATTTTGCAGCTGAGTTGAAGCTTTAGGTTAAATTCAATTTCTTGAATGTTTTCCCACAAAAAATACAGAGATTGGTCAACAATAGAACTGTTCACTAGCATGCATTTTCTTATTACAGAAAAATTTAAATATTACAACTTTAGTTCTTGCACACAGAATTAGTATGTACCAACTTGGCATACATCATAAACCACATCAGAGTAAATCAGAACACAGTTAAATTAAATCTCTGAATTAAAGAAACACTACCAACCAATATTTTCACCGTATGCACTTTAAAACCTGTCTGATGAACATATGAAGTCTTTTGTCCCCACAGATTGCACACATACAGTGCAAAACCCTAAGTGGCTAACAGTAGCCTCATCTAGCCTAGAACAACTGCACTTTTGCCCTAAACACCTTAGCAATAGACTGCTAGATATGAAAACCCAAATGTTTCTGACCTACTAACCTCTGCTAGCTTTCAAAAACCAAAAAAGGTCTTCTGAATGACCATTTCTAACTTGAAAACATTTAAAATATAGACAAGAAAAATAAAAATGGGGGCTGGGGGTAGGTTTCAACAGTAATATCTTGTATTCCTCTTCAATTTCATAGGTAAAAACATATCACTGCATTGATTAACCTTTGAGCATCTAGTATTACCTCTCTCAAATCTCAAATTATCTACTGTCACCACTCTCTGAAATGTACTGGTTTTGCAGCTACAAGAATCAAAACTGGACACTGTTCCTAATTTAGATGGCCACATGCAGTTAATGAGCAAGAACTGTATTTCAAATGGCTAAGAATCTAAACCAGTAACAATTCCAATGTCCAGCAGTGAGTCAACAATATGCAGAGGACAATGTTGGACACCACACAGAATGCATCCTATGATACAACACTCTTTTCTTTCAGAATAGAACACGTACACAGAAGAAACAGTATGTTTTCTCTTTTAAAATTCTTCAGTTCCACATGGCTGGAGGAAATAGAAAGTACTAAAATAAATCATATTTTGATTTGCAGAACAGTAATTTCTATTTTGCTCTCACTCACTAATGAATGGTGGCAAATGAATGGTAGGGACTGCAGTATGTAAATATACATGTGTATCTATTATAGTTTACAGACTGTGCATATAGTCTTCAACCTGTGTGTTGCAGTGTATCTGATGTTGTACTGTAACCTTGGAGTACAGAAATCCTGAGGACTTTGATTATAACAGAGGTAGATCTCACAATTGAACAGTCAAACTTTGGGGCACAATGTATTAATTTTACCTGTATAGGGAAGGCTCTCTCTTGAGTGTGTCTGCACTGACATGTTGTTCCATTAGACCATACAAGAGGATAGGAAGGGAAGTGAAGCTGATATTGTACAGTGTTAGATATGCAGTATCGTATAAAGTCTGTAGATGGAAAAGAATTACATGAGTTACTTTTAATTTTAAAACATGATCCACTGCATGGCACTTGATTTAAACTGAATAAGTCAACTTCTTCAGGAAAAAACAAAACTATATCCTTTCAGAATGGAGGCAAATATTCCTGAACAGGGCTAACTGATGTGAGACACAACTCTGCACTTGTACCCCATTCATCTGGAGGACAAAAGCTCAGCTAAAAGAACAATTTAGTGGTCTGGTCCACATATTGGCCCCTCATATCGTTTCAATGTTTCAACTCCAAACTACCCAAACTGAACAACAGCAGATTCCTCTAGAGGCAGAAATTCCTCTGGCACATCCACACACACCCTGCCCCCCCTTTTATCTCTTCCATGTCTATATAACATGAAGACATGCAGGGAGGAAGGGGGAGTGCTACGGAGGTACTTCCCCTGTGGATGACAGCAATGTGCTGTACAAAGAAACACCCCAACATGCCTTTGATTCTTCTCCCTGCTAAATTATTTTTCCAGGTATGTACCATCACTGCGACTAGCCCTCAAACTTACCAAATCACCCAATAAAAAGGGTTGTTTATTTCCCAAAACCTATTTGGTGCTCATTTATGCCATAAAAATTGCTGTCAAAACCCCCTTTTTGATTCAGAATTATATTTAGCACTTTAAGGAACAGGAATTTAAAGTAAATTTTCATCAACACATGATTTTACATCTAAATCCTAATAATGCTTGATAAAAACCTATGAAGTTTTCAGCGGTCACTTGAAATTAAAACCAATACAGAAAAAAATAATAGTTCTGTCATTTTTACTCCTCCTGGAGCTTTCTTTTGAGACATTCCACAAATTCAAACCAACGGTACTATTTTCTCCCAATTAAATCCTCCATTTATCCAATTTAATCCTGAAAACTTAATCCTCTCTTTGTCCAAGTCCAGTCATTCATTCCTTTGTCTTTTGCTCCCTCCTTCAGAAGAAAGAAGAGGTACATTTTTCTGCACAAATCAGACGAGAGCAAGGGGGAAAAATAAATAAACAAAAATTTATAAAGGAGAAAACTGGATCCTTTCCTGAATGATGGCACTTTTCTGGTGAGCAGCAGTTCACTTTTCCTCTTTCTTTCACTTTTTCCTCATTCTTTCAGTGTTTATTTTTTCTTTTCACCTAACTGAATGACGCTATTTGTCTGAATTTTGCAATTCATACCTGTACATGCCAGAGACGACTAGTTTATACTTCCATTTTCATTCCGAATTCTAAAAATGAACAACTAGTTCAATCACTTATCTTTCAGGATTGCCTCTGTCCATGTTCCATAAGCTTAGACCTAACAGATTCTACATTTCCCACAGAATTCTCACTTTGCATTGCCATTTCCAGATTTTGGTTTCCTGTGTTCTTTGACTTCGAAAATGACATTGCTTTCATATTTCCTAAAATTAATTTCTGTAACTTAACTGCAATTGCCACTGAAAACTTCATAAATGGCAAGCGATGCTCTTCTTTTTACAATCTGTAAACTAACCCAGAAAATTTCTCAGCTGAACAGTCATAGTGTTAAAGGATCCACTTTTTTAAAAACATGCCGAAGAGAAAAACATGTCAGTGAAGGAAAAAGAACAACTAACCTGTTGTGAAAACCCACAGAAGAACTGATATAAAAACTGAGGAAAAATGAAGCAGACATTCTGAAACACAAAGTGACACAGTTGTCAAGTGAAATATAAGCACTAATTTATATGCCGTACAATGCTATAACTATGTATACCATAGTATACCATAGTTTTGTAACACTAGTAATAGTAAACACTGCAGGAACAGTGCAAAGATCTGCATACATTAAACATCAACATTCTCATCTTACAGTAGTACTGTTAAGAAAAATACTTAAAATATTTTGAAGGCAAACTTGTAAGACTACAGTTTCAAAATTCAAGGCAAATGAATTTTGTGATCCAGAAGCACAGTTCGGTTAAGGCAAGGCAAAGCAAGGCAAATAAGGCATAATCCACAATAGGACACTAACTGTGATAAGGAAGCATGGACACACCGGTTAGCATGATTCCCAGCAAAGTAATTTTAAGATGTTTCTGGCCATGACCCCAAAATTCATCCTCCTCTAACTACACATACAGTTAAACACTAAGACCTTGAATTATCTTCTGAAGGTTCCTTTCTATAATCTTTCACTGCTTACTGAAAGAACTTTGATTGGATCCCAACATCTAGACATAACAAAACTGCCTGAAGAGGGGGATGAACATTATAAACCTTCTCCACCTACACTAGCCCAATGAATTTAGAAACTAATATAAATGAAGTTATGCTAAGTTCTTAAATACTATTTCCATCCTGATTTTAAAAGCACTGTAGAGAGAACCCAGAAGGTACTGAAAACAAGTAGAACAGTCTCTGTTGGAATTTGTAAGAGAGGGGGAAAAAAAAGGCAAGGCAAATTTTGCTTTTAAACATACCGTAGATTACAAAATATATAAAAGCTATTTCACTTCATGGAAAAATAATAATGCCATTTCAGCTTTGCATCTGGCACTCGACAACATCTCTTTATGGAATTATTGCTTTTTTGTACCATTGACTGTGCAAACTGTATATAGTTAGATATTAACATGTAAGTTTTAGAGATTTATGTAATTAGAATAAGCATTCTCCTACCTTATAAAAGAAGTATTGCACAAGTTCAGATATCCTAACATAATAAAAATGCCCATGAACAAGCAACATTTTTTTCAAATGTTTAAATTTAGGTATTGCATAGTCACTGTTTCTCGCTGCTTGACGACCTTCTTTACCAATGATTCCTTTAGAAAAAAAAAGTGATGAAGCTATTTAATAACTGAAGAACTATTTCAAAGATACAATTATTTGTAAAATTATATAATAATGCTATGATGTTGATCTGATAAGAGATCACCACTGTACCTCATAAAATTCCTGGGGCAAATTCACTAAAAGTTGTCTATAAAATGCATAACCTGATCCTTTGAGACTGTCTGTTTTTAAGAAGTAAATATTTTTTGTCATTTCATTTGAACTAATACTCTAAAAAGAACACTTACCTATTCCAACATGTGCTTCTAGAATCATACTGACATCGTTTGCTCCATCACCAATTGCTAATGTGATAGGATGCTCCTTTGATAATTTAATCAATTTTACAATCTGGGAAAAAAAAAAGTGTTAAAACCTCTTGTATGTAATGGTTTGCTTATTTTGCATGAGTGAACAATTAATTAAAAATTACCAACATAGTTATATAAGAAATTCTGTGAAAGGACACAAAAACAATATTACCCAATGCAACTACTATGCATAAAGATCACAGTAATTTCTTCATATTAAAAGTATTTGCTCCAAATATAAAAGAAAATTTTTCAAATCCTTCCGAACTATTTTGACAGAGATGGATAAGAGGAAGGAAGAGCAGAAGAAAGGAAGATGTTGAGATTGCTTAAAGCTGTGTAAGTACAATAATAAATTAAATGGGTTCCAGAAACAGAGTGTACAATTTCAATGAAATCCTGAAACTAAAGACTGAAAGATTCTGCTTCCTTAACTCTGCTGAAATTTTTTCTTACTATTTAAGAAAAGGCAATAGAAGTCTGTATACATCTAAACACTGTTGACACATAAACTATCCAAAAATTTGACTTCAAATCTCTCAATTACAAATGATTGCTTCTATAAATTTGGTACTGAGTCAGCTGCAACTAAAAACTTCTACAAACTTCCAGACAGTTTAAAAAGTGCTGGCTAAATACATTTGTTAAAATGAATAAGGGCTACACATGCTGTACCTGAGCACTGAGAAAAGGACATGACAGTTTGAAAGGAAAAGTGTATATTCCAATGTTTGTTTCCTTTAAAAGTTTTTCAGCCATATTGAGATGTGTCAGTAACGGAAGGACATGTTTTTACTTGATACAAACTAGTATACAACAGTCAAGAAGTACTTAAAAGTGATAATGCACACATTTTTCTGTCTGGATTCTTCTTTCTTGGCTTCCCACTTATGTTAAAAATAGAGATGAAGTATCACTCTACAGTAATAAATAATGCAGGTTCTTGTAGTATCAACAGATAGTAGACTATTCAAAGCTTGTTAGGTTAAAAAGGAAGCAATTAGTTCAGTTAATTAAATATGTTCATTTATCAGCACGTACCAACCATAAAATTTGCACAATATATACATAAATCAAATTCAGGTGCACAGCTGGGTGCCATTTTAGCATACCATTATCTAAATTGCTTGCCAGTAGAAAATTTCCCCCTCCCTTTTTCTTTTTAAATTTTTCCATTATAGAAGATACAAAAGTGAATGGTAGAATTTCAAGTTACCATAGAAAGTCATACAGAATACTAAATTTCAATATTTATATATGTGCACAGCTAACAAACAAATATGAATGAAATACAAACCTGTGCTTTTTGTAGAGGTGCCATTCGACAGCATAATACTGCACTGCAGTTCCTGCAAATTTCAAGAAAGAGCTCTCTGTAGTTACCAGAGCTCCCATCTTGTCTTGGTTTCATTATTAATGATAAAGCTGCTCCATCAATAATTAAACCATAATCTTGCATATCAGTTGAAAGTCTGTCCAGGAATAAAATATAAACTAAGAGTCACTGTAAAATTCTCAGACATATTTTAAATTTTGCAATAGTTCTTTTCTGAAAATTAATTAATGAATAATGACTATGGAATACTGCAAAATTAATAGCTTCTAAACGAAATTCCTTGTTTAGGACTGCTATTTATGACATTTCAAAGTTCTAGATTATGTTGAAAATATTCAGTGCTTCACCAGTTTAAAGACAAAAATCTGATACCTCAGTGACTCCACCAGCGAGTATGAGTGTATAATTAATGACATTTCAGTTTGGTCTGAAAGGGCTCCAAGAACTGCAGTGAGGTAAACCGAGTTGCAGGAATAAAGCTAATTTTGTGGAACATTCCATAATATAGAGAAAAAAAGTTAAAGTGAAAGGCCTTTGGTACTCTTGAAACCTACTTTGATGAGGAAAATGATTTTATTTTTCCAAGCGTCTACATTTAAGGAGGTAAACCATACTTTGAAGGAAATGCCTAAGAGAGATTTGTTGGCCTGGAGAGATAAGGCCACTGTCTACATTTACAGTATATATACTTTGCGTTTAGTGTGGTGGCTAAGTCCGATAGAAGTATACCTGTAATTATAATATTAAAATATAATAATTATATATGCTATCTATAATACTACCATATATTATTACATATCTGAATCTATTACTGGTACACCTGCAATAATCTGGGCATTGCCAGAAGTGTAACCGTGGTCACATGAAGCAGTTTACCACAATAACATACACTGAACAATGGGGGAAGACGGTCTGCACTGCAAGAGCAGTTTTCTGTGGCATCCAAACTAGTTATTTCAGAGCACCCTTGCGTTTGCCTGCGTTACACAGCAGCCTCAGGCTCCAGCTCAGCTGTATAAACACACACGGAGGTTTATTTGTGCTCTAGTTTCAGTGCTCCAAGGTTATACTACTGTGCATGGGCTTTCAACAAACGTGGTTTCAACCACAACCAATCTTTCTGAGGAAAACGCCATATTTATCGATATTAGTGTATTTTGAGTATCTCCGTCTTCACTACTAGAACACCAGCTATTTTTTTACAAACAATAAGAAGTACTGTAAAGTATATTTAGTAATGGTTGAGATATTTTCAGTACTTTGTTACCATTGGCACAAATAGGGCAACACCATTAGTATACAATGATATCAGTCAAAAATGTATTATTATGACATTCGTGTTTGACGTATTATAGTGAAAGATTTTCAGTCTGAATTTGAACATCCAGACAGAATCCTGCTATTACTGTCTTAACATATTCTCCAACTCTGGAGTCAAAGACAAAAAATTCTAGTGAGTCTTAATGTATAGAAAATAGGCATTGCACAAAAAGTGAAACAAACATGTTTAAACATACCTTGTAAGGCCTGTGGGACTTAAGCTAAACGTGGTACAGATGACATAGAGAAATATGATTTATTTAACTGAATATACAAACATTCTCAATTAGACCAATGGGGTTTAAAGTGTAAGGAGAGCTAAGAAAAATGCTCTGGCCCAGAGTTTCAAGCTGTAAGGCTAAGAGAAACTCTCTGCTAAAATAATATCACAAATGCTTGTTAAATTGTTGTTCCTTTACTACAAATTTATTAAAAATGCTTATAAAATGTACTTGCTAGCTGGTTTCATATTTGAAAGAAAAACAATTCAAATACGCACCACTATGTCCAGAAGACCAGTAACTTCTTTTCTATACATCTTAAGATGACAGAAATGTTTTAAAATGCAATTCTTAGGTTTTTACAGTGGAAAAAAAAGAGCAAGTAATGTGTACCAGCTACCAAGATTCAAATAAGTAGCCTAATTTACTACCTGTATGAGGCATAATTTACATTATACCTGTTTTTTTGCTTTTTAATGCCATTTTCTGTCTTATTCCATGTTATTTTTCACTTCTGTATACATGATACCTATCAACCTACGGATATTCAAAACACACAGGAGTCAATGATTTCTTTATAATTTAGGGCACTTTTAGGTATTTTTATGCACACCAAAAGATTTGGTACTATGCTGTTGCCTGCCACCTGTCTGTAAATACAGCATAATCTTCCCTAGAAAGAGAGCCATATATTGCTGCCCTCTGTGGCCTTGGTCTTATCAAGAAAGTCACATCACATACTAACTCTGATTACAGGAATATAACATATCTGCTTCCTTTGTAAAAGTTAGAAACATTATTTCGCTTTACAATCATTTTTTTGAAGAGTAAATATTTTTGCAGTGGAAAAATATATAATTACAATGTTGTTTATGATTTTTCTTTTAACGGTTAAAGCAGTACCAGAAATGAGATAAAGACCCACGACTGTGAGAATTTAAACTTATGTGAAACAAACTTATACTTAACTGCCATACAATAATTCATACTTTAACAGAAACTGAAACAGTATGTTGATGCTCTTAAGGTCAAAGATCAATCATTTAACTGTTTATGAAACGCACAGAAGCCCATTCCTGGCTTGAAAATTCAACTTTTTCCTTACCCTGAGAAAGTATCCCTGGTTAAACTGCCACTGTGTCTTAGGACAGTTTTGCTTAGGTCAAAAAGCACATCGTGTAAACTCTGTTCCTCAATTTTCTTTGTGGTTAGCTCAAGTATTTGTGTATTTCTCCGGAAGAGTTTGCAAGCATAGCAAGTAGCTGCAGCAGTCTCCATTTTGTCTCCCGTCAGAACCCAAACTTTAATTCCAGCTTTCTGGAGTGCTTCAATAGTGTCAGCAGCTTTTTCTTGTAGTCTGTGGAAGTCAATTGACAACATATATTGACAGATTGCTTGTAAATTAGAAATTCAGACACCCTTATTGAAAGGTTTCCATAACCAAAGAAAAAATATCAATAAAAGTTATCAGATCTAAGAGTTTTCCTCAAGGTGTGAATCTAAAAACGTTTAGGGGAATAGTGCATTATAAATAATTAGTTTTGACACTTTCAAAGTGCTCAAAGTTTCACCTTTCATTTATATAGCCTAAAAGACAAGATGCTTCATTCCCCAGAGAAGTACTTCAATTAAAACATTTTCAGTGCTCTCAGCTAATGACATCAAACAGCCAAGTACTGCTGAGTTATTAAAGTTACCTCCCAGTTTTAACAGACAGTTTTTAAATTTTTTTGATACCTAAAGATTCTTCCTTCATTTCCTCAAAACCCATTTTGTAGTTCTTTCCTCTGTAACTTTTTTCCTACAATTTGTTCAATAAGGTACTACATGAACCGCATGTAAATGGCTTGGATATACTGATTTTTGTATACTTAACTATTGTTACTAGCTTATTAAATTTTAAAGTTACCATGTGTAACTTCAGCAGGCTAAGGGTACGGAAATGATTCAAATAAAGGGTTTTTCAAATAAATCTCTAATCCAGAAAAAAGAGTTACAAGAAGAGTCTTCAACTACTTTGGTAACAGCACTAAACATAAGAAACTAAGAAATGTACTAACCGATCTTCAACAGCTGTAGCACCAAGTAAAATAAAATCTCTTTCTATCTTCTCATACACTTCAGCCAATTTCTTTTCCCGGTCCTGGAGGGCCAACTTTGCACTCTGAAGCAGCTTCTGTGCATTGCTATATTCTTCTGCGGTGAGCTTCTTATATGCAACACACAATGTTCGCAGTCCCTCCTAAAGAACATAATCAAAAGAAACAAAATGCTTCTTAGAAGATTCTTCTTAGACTTCTTGCTGGTGCGTATGCTGGAATATTTGAAAAGTTGGAATGATTTTACTATTAACATGAAGAGTCCCACTACTCACTTTTATAGTGAAGTGAGTAGATTATAGAATAGTACAGTACAGAATAGACTAGAACATGGGCCAGCTTGATTCTGTGCTGCCCTGGAAGCAGCTGCAACCTATGGGACAAACCTCAGTCATCCAGAAGAGCAACAACTCAGCCACCCAACTGCATGTATAAGATTACCAGGGAAAGGTTTCCTTCCCTATGTATATATTTAGGCAGCCTGAGTCAGAATAAATAACAATAATATAAATAGTAGCTCTGCAGAGTCTGATTTTCATGCTGTGTTGCAGCAGAGACAGGGACAAAACATCACAGAGAGTATTGAAAGTGAAAATCCAACAGTGCCATTTCAAATCAAGCGTGGGTGTTTCAGACTGGATCAGACTTCTGGACTGTGTGATGAATAAGAAAGGGAGTATATAGACTTTGTAAGGTGGGAAAAAGCTGTTATAACACAGAAAGGAAGTTTTGCCACCTCAAGTATATTGCCTCTCACAACACTTAACCCTCATAAAACTTTAATTCAGCACGTCTTTGTATAGTTACTTATTACCTATCCAAGAAGGCAAAGTATTAAAATATGTCCCTGACCCTTGCTATTGAGAAGGGCAGGCGTCAGGTGGCTGCCTGTATCTTCTTTCAGGAGCTTCTGTATGTAGGAGCCAGACCTATTTCCAATTATCCAGGATGAAGAAATAGCTGTTGGTCTGGACTTCCCTCTTGACAGACACTGGATGGATATGACATGTAAATACTTATTTCAGTTTCATTAGCCTCCTTCAATTGTAATTATCAGACCGCTGTTTCACATAGTAAAGCTTCGCAAAGCACTTTGGCAAATAGTTTTGAAGTTTCCCTTCAAAACAAAAGGTGGTTACACTGCTTTTCTCAGACCTGTAATAATACTTTGTTTTCAGTTTGAGTACTGGATGCCAGCAAATTTTATCCTATTTATAAAACTGGCAGTCATATTCCATTGCAATGGGTTCTGCATATTTTTTGACAGAGCAAAATTCAGTATTTTACAACTCTGAATACTAACCTTTAGGTAAAATCAAGTTCTCAATTTCTTTTAAAGGTGCTCAGGCCGTTCACAGCTCATTTTTAGCAAGCAAAAGTGTTAAGTATAAGGATGATCATTGCACTGTTTCCCCACAAGAAGTGCATTCATCGCTACACTGTGCTCTAATGGATTTTCTCTCTTAAGAGCTTGTAAAGCAATCAAAGGCAGCAAATCACAATTGCTAATTCTGGGGACTGAAAGCAGGGATGAAATTTTCAGTGAAGTTTTTCACTTTTATTTCATTCAGTAATTAATTCAAACCACACAGTGCCATATAAAAAGCTAACTGATATAACATACAGCTGGTATATCTAATGCACTCATATCTCACCACATCTGCCATTTGGAAGATGACATGGAAGACAGAATTAAACAAGGGAGTAACACAGACTGCTACCCATACAGCCTGTGTGCACTTTGGCATAGAATAACCTCTGTGCCTTGGAGGACAAATCTGTTAACAGATCAAGCAGGAGGTCAGAACAATTAAATTTTTTTTGGCAATTATATCCCATGAACAGATCAATAAAATGGAATCTTACCACTGCATTGCGTTCAACTCTGGATCGTATTTGTTCAATTTTGCCTTCTTTAACTCTAGGAAATATGGAAGAATCTGCTCCCTTACAAAACAGAAATATATCACCTAAAAGAGACAGCACATGGAATTCAAAATGGCCAAATATATCTTTCTTAAAAAAAACAGTCTTCAAAAAGATTTCTTCCAACTTTTTTAAAACATTTGAACTCACACAGGTACCCAGTCCCCTTTTTTATAAAGGCAGGTACAGAAACTGTGCTTAATGCTTAATTCTTTGATGTCAGCCATAAATTCAAGGGAAACAAAAACCTCTAAGAAGCAATAAAATGTGACAGCCCTACCTGTTGAAGATTTAACAATTACACTCATTCGCCGTCTCACAGAATCAAAACTCAAAACCTCCAATAATTCAAACCTGAAACAAACAGAATATTTTTTAAACAACTTGGCTTATCCAGATACCTAAACTGGTTATTATGACTTCAAGCATATCAAATAAAACATGACTTCTAACATGGAAAATTATGTTGAGTATTAAGGAATATGGAGCTAGTACAGAAAGAAACAGGTCACAAAAAAATAAATAGGGGAGGCCCTCAGCTCCTAATTACTTGAAACAGAATTTGTCTGCATGACGTTCCTAAGTAGCTTTGGATGTATAGTCAATATAATTTATTTAAGCAGAAGACTAGAAACTTTGCAGTAGAGAACTATACTGCTTATAAAGTAAGTAAATTCCTACCTATAATACCCAGAGATAGCCTTAGAAATTGAAATGTGTAGGTGTTCACACAGAAGTCTTTATTTAATATTTTTATAATTAAGACTATTTCTATGTCCCAAAAGCGCCCACCTAATTTCATGAATCTTGCTCAAGTGTTGACTGAGAAGTTCTTCAAGTCAAAAAACCATTTCTTTTTACTGGTTTTATGTTTTCCATTGTTTTTATTATTTGATTTTATCCCATGTTCCTTTCCTTTCTAGAAGGAAAAATGAACACAAGCTCCTGTTGTACTGTTTCTGTATAATTCATTACTCTATATACTTCTATCATTTACTCTCTTACTTATTTCCTTTTATCTGAGAGACACCCTTTTTTGAGCACAAACATAAGCATCCCAATCATTAATCCCAATCTCTTCAGGATTCGTATTTGTTAATGTTTCGCTTATAAAACAGATCTGCTTATTTATTAGATTGTTCAGTTCTAAGTCCTTACAACAGCATGGAATTCAAACTTCTGCAAGGCCACAGTGTTTATTTCATTAAAAGTTGCAACAGACTCTAAGAAGGAGCTGGATCAGGCCTATGTCTACAAACTGTGATGCATTTTGGAGAAAATTCCTAATAATTATAGCGCTTTCATAAATCACCAAATTATACTGACTCCAATTCTTATGAGTTGAGACACAAAAGTTTGAAGTAGCATTCGAGAAAAATCCTCCATATTCCCCTTAAACGGATAAAAAAACCAGCAGGGTTCCTGTACTCATGTCTGAGAGTCCCTGTGTAGTTAGCAGAGTACACATTCAGATACACAATAGACTTAACCAGGAGGCATCTACAGAAGTGCAAGGTAACATTTTCAAAAGTATGTACGTCCCATTGAACAACTGTACTGCTTATATCTTATTGAAAATTTTCCTCATTTTATGGTCTTACCTGTCAAATGAAAATAACATAAAAAACAGTACCTGTTTTAAATTTTCTTTGAACCAGCTATAGAAATTTATTCTACATGTGTTACCCCTCCTATAAATTATACAGATTATTTGTGAACAACAAATGTCGTACATACAATTTTCTGGGAAAAAAAAAATTATTTACCATATAACAAAGGAAAACTACTCATAGTTCCTAAAACTATTAGGAACTATTAGATTAAGTCATGAACCACTACATCACACTTTAGCTGTTATATTAATATTTTGCATTGCATATACTGTCAAACTACGAGACTAAACAAAAATATAGAACTACAGGGTCTATTTAAAATCATAAATAGTAAATATTTTTTTTTTACTAAAATGTACAATTTCTGAATTTTCTGAATTAAAAATTAATGTAGAGGGAAAGAATGATTTAATTAACACATCTATAAAAATTCCTCATCAGTCCATTTTGTTATATTTTTAACTACTCACTTCTCTATGTTATTTTCCCGATTTAAGATCTCCATAAAATTGTCCTTCAGCCTTAGATAGGTGTAACCAAGTCTGCAAAAAGAAACACACATCAAGAGAATGAATACAACAAATATATAATTATCCGGTTTAAGCATGTCTTAAGGATTTAAGACTGATCTTATCTTCTGAAAAAAAACCCAAACCAAAACAAAATCCAAACTGTTTTTATTTGATTTATGAATATGAATAATCATGATCGTACGTTAAGAGAATTGTCATCTCTAGATGACTCAGCGTTTGCTATTAGGATTACTGTGCCCAAAACAATTTTCAACTTCAATGATTAGGCTCTCCAGATTAAAAAAGTATAATACCTAATTATACACATACCTCTGTATTCCCTCAACTAAAGCAACTTCATCAGGTGATGATGATATATATATACAAGATCTTCTTGAGAGCTGGCTTTTCTTCAATCCATCTACGCTGTCATCATCTTTTACCTGAACTGTGTGGCAAAGACAAAGAGCTCGGAAAAATAGTTCCTCTCTCTCCTAAAAAATAAAAGAAATGGTTGTCACTATGTGTTATCAATTTCAAGTGTTCCTTTGAAAACTCTTTTTTTTTTTTGGAAGGTTGGCAGTGTCACTGATTACAACTGTATTATCAGGTAAAGACAGTGTCACAGGGGAGCCTTTTTTAGGGGGAGCCAAGTCTTTCCCAGTGGTAACCACACAGCTGCCAGTACCATGCAAGTCAAGCCACGGATGCCCAAAAAAGATTGTGCATCTTTTGCCTCCTCTGAGTTCCCAGATGTGGCTAAAGGATTTTTTCTTTACTTTTGTTTAAACCTTAATGACCTGTATTAAATACTAGCCAAGGAAAAATTTTAGGAGTCCTGAATCCAGACAGAGGGACACAGCACCTGGAGCACAAGTGTTTACAGATTTCAATTTCTTATGCAGTTTGAACACCTCTCAGAGGTTTTATATAAAATAAAAGTGGGGGACTTTGGCAACTGAAGCCAACAACTTCTATGAAGTTTCAGATGGTTTGGTAGTAACAGCTTATCCATTTCTTTTTTCTGGTTTAAGAATCACACTGGAAAGAGATTTCTATTTCATGGATAACTGGTTGTGTTTTAACTGTATCTTTCCATCTGAATCTTGTTCTTCTGTGCTGTTCAATACAAACTAACTGTGTCATTGTAACCCCAAGACAAAAACACAACGTACCATAGGACCATCTTCTGAGGGTCATGGGTGAGAGCCATAAGGCTGTTGAATTACACCAGTATATTTTAAGAGGCCTTCTTTTGCTATCGTGGAGGGTATGGCCAAAGTATGACTTGTGACAGTACCGACATATTTAAAAAAAATATTGTCCTTTGGCTAAGATTATCCTCCCTATTTACACACCGCTCATCAGTTGATATTTGAGGTTTCCTTAACCTTCAACTATCTTATTTTGCTTTATGTAGCAAAAGTGCCACAGCACATACATGATGTTTGTAGCACATTTCAGATGTCGCTATATTAAGTCATGTTTAAAATTAAATTAATTTGATCAAAAAACATTCTCTGGCCACATCTTCACTCACTGATGACAAAAGTGTTTGCATTGAGCGCTCATTTTCCCCCTTTAGGAGTTTCCTGCCTTGCCTTCCCTACTCTAGCTAAGGTTAATGGAAACCAGCTATTATGCTTCTTTAGTTATTAACCAAAGAAAGTTCTGTTTGGGTTTTTTTATTTAATTCAGTTTTACATCTGCAGTAAGTTGGGAAATTTCCTATTAAGCATCTAAATCTTACTCTGAACTAAAAAAGGAAAACGTTTATGTTGTGATGCGTTTCCTGCAGATATCTACTCCAATTAGTTAAATTGAAGGATGTTATATTTCTGATTTTCCCTTCATGATCATAGTTCCACTTTCACGTTTTGTTGTAAAAAACAAGAAGCTAGAAAAAGTCATCATACCTTTCCACTTCCTCCTGGAGAAGAATCGATCATATCAATTCCTGTACAATTGTGGAGAATTTGGCCATTGCAGATAACATGTGGTACATAAACGTGCCCTTCAATGCAACATTCTACAAATTCCATGTTGTTCTCAGTTAATGTTCCTGTTTTATCTGTGAAGACATACTCAATCTGCAAATAAGCACAAATTAAAAACAGCAGGAATATGAACAGAGATTTTCCAAGGTCTCTTAACATAAATGAGATTATTACTGGCTTACACCTTCCTTTAAAGATTCTTATGCAGCCTCTTTCAGAGAAGGAACAACAATTCCTTTTGGGAATCATCTTCCATGGAAATGTGCGCACTGAAAGATTTTAGCACACAAAAGTATCAGCAAAGCTATCTTTTGCCTCACAACATGTACAAATAACATGTTTAACCTACTTTCACTCTTCTCTCAAGCTCTTTTCTGGTTTTTAAAGTCTTCCTGCTGCAAGACAGATATTCATGGAAACAAAATGCATGCAAATTCCATTTCCTGGGTATCATTACTTAATGTACGTGTCTGGATTCGGATCCGTTACTGTCAGAACGGTCCTTAGGGTAATATCAGAATTCCCCACTACAATTATTTTAGTGTAAATGAGTACACTGGACTAATGGTCACATACAGTTATACACATGTGCACTGTTATTGCCCTGGAAACATTACTTTTGTCTCAATATTGAATTTTTCATTAATTTTATCGTTTACAATGAGCCCCAGCATTTAAGTATAACACCATAAAAAATAAAACCAAAACCTGAACTATAAACCAGAACAGCTAGATCGGCACAAGCTCAATTTTGTATATTGGATACAGGTAATGTATACAGACTGCACATATGTATTTGATAAACTGGGATCATTACGTAAGGTTAGGAATTAAACACTGAAAGTAAGCCAATTATTTAGAATCATAGAATCATAGAATTGTCTAGGTTGGAAGAGACCCTTTGGATCATTGAGTCCAACCGTCTACCCTACTCTACAAAGTTCTCCCCTACACCATATCCTCCAACACCACATCTAAACGTCTCTTAAACACATCCAGGGATGGTGACTCAGCCACCTCCCTGGGCAGCCTATTCCAATGCCCGACCACTCTTTCTGTGAAAA